TGGTTTCGCTGATAACGATACATAGTATACCGTTCGATCAGTGTGCAATGAAAAATACCACATAAAACAAACAATCAAAATGCGTGCAGGCTTTCATCCAATTAAGTTATGAAAGCGGATTGGACTAATGAATTTGATTAATCTGTAAATAGACTGATTTATGCTAACTCTGTCTCTTCGGGCTATTTCATGTATTGACACAGTACATAATCCCAGGTCCTCTTTGAGGACACGGGATTATGTACTGATTATGTCTTTGAGGACACGGGATTATGTATTGTGTCGAACAGGTCCTCTTTGAGGACACGTTCGACACAATAAACTTTCATGTTGCGTTCAAGGACAGATTATGACCCCATTTCTCGATGCCTAATGTATCGCTTCTTCCCGTAGGCACCTGCAATGTTAGCATAAGAGCATCAGATTATCTGGGGTAGTCCTATGTGTCATTAGAAAGCTTCGAACAGTGAATAGCGCTCATTTCGTTAATTAAATCAATATAGCACACACTGCGCCATAAACCCGGTTTCTTGCAGTGTATGAGCGAGTCCACCGTAGCGTAGACCGACTCAAAACACCAACCGCGCTGGACTCAAAATGGATGATCTCCGCAAGAGGCACTGGAAGTTTGCGTACTTGTCGGTAGGCTGTGGTATTTCAATCTTAAATACTAAATAACTTAAAAAGCTGGCCTGACATCACAAATATGAATGTATTAGCAGGTGACAGACGGGAAAACAGAAATGAGTAAAAATCTGAAATCCCGCCCAGAAAGGCAAGAGCACTAAAAACGATAGCTTTCTCTAATAAGATAGCCTAGTCTTCTGTAATTTTGTTCCAAGTTTTGATGGGCAATCCAAGATGTGTGCAAAAATTTAAACTTTCCTGTAACGAACTTTTTGCGATCTGATGAGGCGCCTCCGGGATTCAAGAACATATAAGTAACTTTGTCTCCTCTACAAAAGACCCCCGGCCTGCTCGGAGTGCTCAGCACTGCCACAGCGAAAGCTGGAAGAGGAGTCTTTCCGAGCCTTCTTTTAACACTCTTTGGGTAGCTACTGCAAGTTCATTTGAAAGTACCCACTACGCCATTATTCATTGTGTAGCAGGCAGACATTCGATTTGCCATCCTTCGCCATTCTTCGGAGAAGCGTGGTATATCCCATGCACACTTGCAAGAAACTTTGTGCAACTTTTCTTTAGCTGTAGCTGACAACGATAAAGAATTGTGGCAGAAGATTTGTAGTCCCCATAATCCTCCACAGTGGGTATGCGCCACAGTTATTAGGTGAACGAGATCATGCTTTATTAAAGAGATGGAGCGATACAGACGACCTGGTCGTTGCATATTTCGCGTTGTGTGACACCTCGTTGTTAATTTGCTGTTTTAAAATGCTTTATTACTCATATGACCGCGATTCCTTTCCGGACATCGAGCCAGCTTTGCAAGAGAGTTCTAAGCACTGGCGTGGCTCAGTCGTAGACTACTCGGCTGGCGCGCAGGGGACCCAAGTTGGAATCCCATTGTGTCCTTTGGGTTTTTCATGGGTTTCGTGCGATAGTGGTACGGACACCGGCGGCGGACAACCACGGCGTGCACGCCATCCGTGTTGTGATCTCATAACAGCTTTTGCCGTAATATGTAGCAGCTATGACTCTAAATTAGCACGCACATTAGCGTCAGTTTAGCCTTTTTAGCGGCGCTCGAAGCTCAGGAACCTTATGCTGACTTCATGTTCATATTTAGTTCGCTGCAGTTGGCTATCTTGAACGTACTAACGAAAGCAAGTGATGGTCTGAGCTTATTCTTTGATAGCGTCTTGACATAGCGATGACTTTACATGTAAGCATCGTCTTCTAGTATCTTCCCTACATCGACGCCAAAGAGGAAGATGGCCACGTCAGGCTTCTGGGATTCATCGGAAAGATCGCTCATGCGACGATAGACTCTCTCCGACTGAAGTGAGTTGTGGAAACCAAGCCCTTGCTATTACGTAATAGTAATCTTTCAAGTGTTAAGTATCCTTCCTCCACTCTTCCCCTCGACCCACCACTAATACTCGTTTCTCAAACAGCGTTACCTTCATCAAGCCTAGATACGGCAATTTCGGCGGTGAGTCCGTGAACAACAGCTGGCCAGGCATCGTCGGAATGTTGGTCAAGAAGGTAAGTTTTACGCCACTTCGTAGCCTTGGTGAACTACTAAGTTACAGCAGGCCGCCTTGCGAAACAAAACGTGTTCTTCACGAAATGGGAGACACACTCCCAAGGACAGGGGACGAATTCACAGTTCTAACTTCTCTCTCGTAAGCGCGTCTTCCCGAAGGTAAGCCGGTTTCGCTGCTGAGATGCCCTGCATCGTGATTGGCTGAAAGGTTTTCTGCGGAATGTGCTAGAGGTTTTCGTGAATGTGGACCCAAAAGTCTTCTGGACATGAGCTTCAAAGCAAATGCGAGCTTTCTGCTCAGCTTTGTATGCCTCTTCTGCTTTTATGAATGAGTGTGAAGGTCTCAAAATATATTACACACTGTAACAATAATCTATGTACTATATTTATATGCTGCCTGATAATTCTGTTTTCTCACTAACGTCGTGGGTACTTTCGCACCCAATGTTACGATTCCATATTGCGGAAAGGGAGACAGCTTTCAAGTACGATTCAATTTAGGAGAAAAGGAAACAGCGATTGAGTACGATTGAATTCAGGAGAAAATAAGACAGCGTCCGCCTGCTTGAAAGAAAAAATTGGCCCCGTATCTGCATGTTACACCGCAAATGTCGCCGAAAGACGATAGTCTTGCGTCTGTAGAGAGTGAACAAAATGTTTATGTGATGTTCTGTGCAAGAAAATCGGTGAATGGTATTCTGGAGGCGCTGCGTTAGAGTGCCTCAAGCGTGCTGCGGAGGCGAACGAGCGCATCAAATCACGACGTGTCACACGTGAGACATGAGCGCTATCTGGCAGTTGTCTTGGAAAACGGGGTGCTCGCTGTGTGCGCCCGTCTCTGAGGTGATAAGGTGTAGAACGCAAAGCGACGGGTAGGTGCCACCACCATGTCTCCTAAACCAGGCGACACAAACGACACGAACTTGCATATATTTTTTATGGGAGCTCGTTTCAGAGAAGTCGAGGAGATCCGGATCCTGGGCCTGTTAATTCATAACAGACTCAGACTGGACTGTACTATTACCAAACTGAAACGCATAGGCGAACAGGTCGGACGTATGATCCACCGCGCTTCCAACAAACGCAGCGGATTGAGGGGCAGGGATACGCTTAGACTCGTTCATGCCTTTGTACTCAGCCGGATCCTCTACTCCGTACCCTATCTTCGCACTACAAAGCAACACGACCAGTGCATCGACGCCATAATTAGGAACGCTACAAAGCAAATTTAGGCTTACCGGTAACTACCACCAATGCCAAGTTGTCAGATCTGTAAGTGCTAAACCTTATCAGGAATTGAAGGAGGCGCACCTCGTCAACCAATATACGCGACTTTTGCAGACGGTATCTGGGCGCCGCTTGTTAGGCCGCTTGCACATAAAACATGACTGCATTCCAGAGGAGGCATGCAGACTTCCTGAGCTGTGGTGCTACAAGCTCTGCGTTCCTCCCCTTCCTCGAAACATGCACTCGCAGACACACGAAGGCAGACGAGGGGCGCGCACTGTGGCCCTCGAAGACTAATATGGATCCAAGCCAGGTGTATACTACATTGATGTGGCAGGGCCGTCGCCAACTTGATTTTACACGACCACCGTAGTTTACCAAAACAAAAGCGTTCACCAAAACACCTAAACAAACTCCACACTCGCTGAGGAGGTAGCAATAGCACTTGACACCTCGCACACGGACTCTATGGGATAATTATTACAGATTCACGCCGAGCCTCTGAAAATTATCTGGCGGACGATGTATCACCTTTAGCCTACGATACTCTAAAGCGAGCCGTCAGGGATTTAGACCCCTCACCAAAACGCATTGTTTGGACTCCGAGCTAGCAGGCCCTTGGACGTAACGAGGCTGCAGATGCGGCCGCCCGCTCGCTTAACCACCCAGCACCTCACCCAGGCTTTTCCGGCTCAAAGACTAGCCAACCACTTCTACGATTTAGAGAAATTCTGGTGTACTATTACGAACAACATCGGCCTTTCCCGGTGCCTGCTAAGGACCTGAGTAAGGCCGATGAACGAACCCTAAGGCGCCTGCAGACCAAAACCTTGTTGTGTCTTGGAGTAGTAAAACATTTTGACTCGAAAGTCGATGGGTGGTGCCCTCTTTGTGGGGAAGTCTCCGATGACTTTCACATGGTGTGGGCATGTCAAACGCATCCTTCCCTTTCTCCTAACTTTTTCTCAACTAGAGAGACATGGGAGGCAGCTCTACTCAATTGCTCAGGGCTGAAGGCTCAAAGAGCTCTAGTCTAACGGGCGCGGGTAGCGGCCAAGTCCAGCGGTGTCCCGGAATAAAGACTCCCCCTGTGTAAAAGACCCTTATGGATCTGCAAACTCTCTATGAATAAATGTTTTTCATTCCCTGACCACCATGTCGTCTTAGCAAAGCGTTGAAAAGACTTGCTGTTTCATGCAAGCGTTGCATGGCCAGCGCAACGTTATAAAGGCTACGATCCTTAAAATTACTTATGTATATCTTTTCTAGTAAAAAATACACATACATAATAATGACGTGTTGCTATGGTGTCTCAGATATGCGCAGTAATTGATTTTTAATTGACAATCGCACAAGTATGAATGCTGAACCTTGAGCAATATTGGTGGGGGCTGCAGATGGGGTTGGCCGTTTGGAGTACAGTTTGGTCACTTTGGTGCCGTTTAGGGTAAAGTTAAGGGTGGACAGTTAAGAAAGGAAGACGAAGAAAAAGTGGTCCCATTGACGACCTTGGCCAAACTTCTTGTGGGTATAAGCCAAGATCTTCTGGGCGACAAAACAAGACGTCCTGTGTGTTATACTTCAGAGACATCCTCCTAATCTAGCCATGGCGCCATTCCTGTCGTGGACACCTTCGAAGGCGCAGGCCTTCGACGTTGTTGTCCCTGTGGGGACCAATCCGGAGACCGTCGCCGACGTGACGGCCTCAATAGTTGGCTTCTCAGAGGTACACTGCATTCAGCATATGGGAGGCATGAACTTCGAAGTAACTGTTAAGAGCATGGCTTCCATGACTCCCATCGTCGACGCTGGCTACCTGACCATCGGTGGCGAACGTATTCCGGTCGTTCCCGTCGACCCACACGGTAACTAACGGTACTTTCCTGTTCTTACCAGCCTTCGTCTCCAACGAGGTACTCGTCCAGGTTTTGTCCCCGTACGGCAAGGTATTGACTGTGACCGGTGGCTTCATGAGCGCAAGACGCGGAGTTCTCACTGGCACACGCTTTGTCCGAATGAAAATGAGTTCCACAAATCCCGTCCCCAACTATCTTCGCGTTTCCGGTCATCGAGTCACCTTCGACTACCACGGTCTGCAACGTGTTTGTCGTCGGTATGGCTCTAGTGGTCATTATCGAGCACAGTGAAAAGCACCATTCTGTGGTCACAGTGGTGTGCACGGACACGAAAGCGAAGGCTGCGACCACCCCCGCCGTCGTTGTGGAGATGGCCACCCTACTACCGTCTGCTCTGTGCGTCGTTCATATTCAGATGCTGCTGCAGGGGACCTTTCCTGCCCTACGTCCATGTCACCAACGGCAACAGATGAACGAGAACCCGGAGCTGTAGTTGAAGAACGTCAGAACTCGATTCTGAGAGCCACATTAAACGACGAAGATGAAGTGTGCAGCTTGACCAACCCGAGCGCGTCATGTTTGCCTATCTCAGCGATAAGAACCGCCACCATGGTTGACTCCGTGTCTGTCGCAGGCAAACATGCCGTGCCATGTTCGACGTTGTCCCAAGCCGAGAAAGAAACGCTTGTAGATACCGACGCACCGAACTCATCGTTAAATCTAGCAGCCGAGTGCTCAGTAACGCCGATGTTGGGAGGTCTGTTTCGCCAGGAACAGAATTGAAACCAAATGAGCAAAGACCATTGGCTCATTCCGAAAGCCAGGCTCGCGACTTCCTTGAACAAGTAGCAAGACGTCATGGGAGCTCTTTACTGACGCGTCTCGACATGCAATCCGTGATCAAGGTCGTTGGAGGCGGCGACAACGTTGACGCTGCAGCCATACCACTATCTCATTTGTCAGAAAGCAGCTTCAGCCTCGGAGTGGACAGTAGCATCGGGCTCTTTTCTAGCATAGACAGAAGTGACGTGGAAATGCAAGCCCCGCGAGATGTCAAGCGTGCTCACAATTCTGGAGCCAGCTCGGACGGCACCCAGGATAGCCGCTCCGAGTCCCAGAAACCAAAGAATTCTTGATCCCCTTTTTCAGGGTCGAAATGTGTTGTGTAGTGTGTGTACTCCAGTTCCCCCGGACAGATCCCCGGCGGACCGAATCAAAATCATGAGCAAGTCAGTCACTCACAATCATTTCGATATGGCTGACACCCTGAAAATATTTTCTTTAAATGTTCAAGGGTTCCGTAACTCAGTAAGCAAGCCGAAGTTATCGCCCGCAGAGAACAGTGTCATATTTTGTGTTTACACGAAACCAATTCTTTTACCATTGACCACATTCGTGCATTCAAACGCGCATTTAATTTAGACTGTTACTTTTTTTCGCGATATCTCAATTCAGTGGAGCTGAAACTGTTATTTTTAACCGTGCTCTTCTACGCAATCATTATGTTTTTTATGACGGGACTGGACGGGTATTGGCTTTTGACTGCATCCTATCATCCTTCAAGCTGCGCATTTTGTGTATTTTGTGCCAGCTCAAGCGGCGATGTCTAACAATTTTTTCCATGACCTGGACGTGCATTTTCTAGACGGTCGTCATGTGATACTCAACGGAGATTTTAATTGTGTATTTGACACGCGAGCTGACGTGCAAGGTCCAGGATGGGGTCATTCTGATTGGAACGCGTGGGATCTGCGTCGCCTGGTCCAACATTTCTCTTTGATAGATACGCACAGACTAGTGCATGCACCACAGTATGCCTGGACTTGGCGGCGTAGCACGTCGTCTGGTCGGTTGGATCTTTTCTATGAGCCGATCACACTCCGATGTAGCAACATTACCTTCAACCCCTGTTTATATATCAGACCACCGACCAGTGACGCTCGAGGCTTACTTTCCCTTTTAATCATCAGTGAGACCTCGGCGTCTTGACATCCGCATTCTGCACGAAGCGCGTTCCCGCTCCAGTTGATCTAGAATTGCGTGCCTCTCTTTTGGAATCCAGTCCGGAGGTGTGGGACGCGCTCAAGAAACAGTGGCATTTGCACTGCTCAGTAGCAGGGTGTGCCCTTGGACGCCGTATGACCGAAGAACTAGCGGACACTGCCACAAAGCTACGTATTGCTCTTCGGGTTGATCGGCTAACTCCCTTGATGCACGCATGGCAGCGAGAGTTACGGGGTAGTTTTGCAACGCCTTGTTGCAGCGTTGACGTTGACGGCGGCTGCTTGGCGTTGCAGACGTAATCCATGTGCTCACCCTGAGATTCTGTGCTTTGCGAAAAGCTCGCTTCTCAGCCTGTCGAGTCCACTAGGAACTCAGGCCGCAATATCCTTACCAACTGCGTTGCCGCAGACACGCGATCAATCAGTTTTCTTGGCTCACTTTGCCAACATGGCTTTTAGGACACTGTCACATTGCGGTACTACTGAGACAGCCACAATGTTAAGTTGGCTCCCTGAAATTTCATCAGAAGTAGTTTAACAACTTTGCACAAGTCCGTCAGCTGACGAAGTGAAAGAGGCAGTGTCTTCCATGAAGCGTGGCTCGGCCCCCGGGCCGGACGGGTTCCCTGTTGTGTTTTATTTAACGTTTTGGGACAACATTGCTGCTTTTTTCACCTCCGTGTATTTACCGCTGTTTGTAGAACTTTGATTTCCCTGACAGCTTTCGCGATGGTCGAATTGTTTTAATACCTAAAAATGACCCATCGTCGGTTCACCCAGAGGAGTGGAAACCAATAACGCTCCTCAAGGCTGACTATAAAACTTTTGCAGTAGTTATCACTTGGCGTTTGAGAAGCCTGACGCCTTCTTTAATAGGTCATCATGAGGCGTGCTCTATTCCTGGAAGAGAAATCCGCAGTCTCTCCTTTGTTACGCGTGATATAATTGCGTACACGTTGGCAAGATCAAGTCGGGATCTCTTGGTTTCACTTGACCAAGAAAAGGCATTCGACCGCTTCGAACATAGCTTTATATTTAGCGTAACGGCAGCATTTGGCTTCTCCGAAAACTTCATTGAGCTTCTCAGAAACGCATACTGAAATATACGCAGCACGCTGTTTTTCGATGGTTTAGAAAGTGCGCCATTTCCTGTTTCCCGTGTTGTTCGCCAGGGGTATCCTTTAACCCCTGCACTTTTTGTACTCCGCATCGAATCATTCTTTCACTCGCTAATCACTGATCCATACGTTCGAGGCCTTCCTCTTCCAGGTTGTGATACCGTGACGGTGGCAGCATTTGCTGATGACATCACGTTGCATCTGAAGAATGAGGACAGTTTATCCCGTAGCCTACGACTTTTTGCTGCGCATGGCACGATTTCAGGTGCTGCGTTAAATGTTTCAAAATTTTGATACTTATTCATTGGCTCCCCAGACGCCTGCCTAAGTCCCTTTTTCGGTCTTCAAAAAAGTGACCCCATTCGCATTCTGGGGCTTGATTATACTTGCTACGGCATATCAGCCTCCCTGTGGGTTTCAGTAGTCGCAGATGTAAAACGACACGTCCGGTATGCACAAGAGTGTGATTTACCGATGCTAAAAAGAAGGTATTTAGCACAGACGGTGTTTTGCGGCCGTGCATGGTACATATCTCATGTCGTACAGCCCCATGAGGAATCACTGGGTCGTTGTGATCCCTCATATTGGCTCATTTTTCTGGTCAGGTGGAACGGAGCTGGTTGGCCAAGCAGCACTTGGGACACCGAGAAACTTCGGTGGATTCGCATTCCTATCCTTCTCTTTTCACTGCCGGCTGCTTGCCCTACAATTCTTACTTCGGTTATTGCATGGTGATCAGTGCCCCGCGCGTAATCTTGCCTGTTCTTTCTTAGGCACCAAACTACGCTATTTACTACCAGATGCACGGCTTAATTCTGCACCGCGAACACTTAACGTGCCTGCATTTTACTCAACGGCAGTAGCTTTTTATCGACACGCCGAGCAGTTTTGTCCCGATGTTGACATTCTCGAAAGCCGCATTGTAGAAACAACGGCGGCTCTTCTGCTTTGTCTGGTTCATTCAGCCCGCCTAGCACGATCGAGACATGTCTCGTGGAGCGCGATAACGGCATCGTTTTTGCCTGGTCACCTCCGTGACTTTATGTGGCGTCTTAAATGAGAGTACTCCCAACACGGGACAGACTGGAGAGGTGGGGCATGGTCCCATCTTCCACTTGTCCTAACTGCCCGTTACAGGAGTCTAACCAGCATATGCTGCAGCAATGCGTCACTGCAAAGGTGTTTTGGAAGTCAGTTAACACTAGTTTTCGTGGCCAAAATGTTAATCGCTTTGTAACATCTGGTCGCTGCTCGCGTAGTCGCTTTGCACGCCTTCTAATAGCTGCGGGATATTTTCGCTTATGGCGTAATAGGTGCGAAGCTGTTGCGGCAGGTCATCGTCGTCATGCTATTTTTCTGATTCTGGAACGCCTCTACTCTGAACTCTTATCGTTTCTGTCGGAGGAATTGTTCTTCCCTTGGGGAGGAAGAATTTCTACGACATCGGTCGTGCCACTTTCTGTCTGTAGTTGACAGACGTGTTCGATTAGTCTTCCACCTGGCCTGGTTCCTATAGCCAGGTGACCTGTCAGTGTCTGATTAGTGCATGTAATCTTGTGTGTTTACTATTTCTATGTGTTTGTGCGTGCCCCATATGGGTGTGAGTTGTTGTGCATATGCACTTCATTCTAACTCTGTAAATTATGTAAATTTTACGACTTTCCATACTTGTATATACTTGCTAACATCTTCACCAAGTCTTGTAAATTCTGTACATATATATTCATGAACATTGTCCATATTGTGATT